ACTAGCGGAATGTTTGAGGGGATTAGAAAAAATCCAAGAGGCACCAGTAACCACTAACTTAAGGTGTTTGGAGAAAATCCCCTTATGCTTCTTGATCGTTCCTGCCCAGGCAGAGTTGATCTCGAGCATCAACGAGATTTCGTAGTCCGGTCGCTCTCGGATTAACCAAGTCCATGCTTCAATACCCAGAGAAATGGAAGGCGTGGAAAAACTTTCGAATGGAAGGATGACTAGGTAATGCAGGAGGTCGTAGTCACACTACCCACGTAAAGTTAGCCTTCCTCTCGTTTGGCGGAGTGATGGAGCTCACCCTTTTGGCCGAAGACAATGTGGAGGCACATCGGAACAAGAGTCTCTTCAATTCTTGGATGTGGAGGTTGCAAGTTTTGTCCCATATTTGAGTGAGAGCCTTGGCCAAGAGAGATCGGAGGTTTTCAGTTTCTGAACGGGGTGTTCCGACGGGCGGTTGTTTCTGGAGTTTATCTGGCACTGCGTTCAAGAGTCAGAATCTGGGAAGGGGGGAAAGGCGGCTCGCTCCCGACCTTTGCTGCCAGCCAATCTGATCCCGTCGTTTTCGCCAGTGTAGTGATTCTTCCCAGCAACTTGGCTCACAAATAGCTTTGTCAAATCTGGTCTACAGAGGGCAAGACCAGAGATGGGAGCTAACGACTGCAGTGTCAGCAACCCGATTGCGTTCCCTGGACGGTCTACCTCACTCACCAGCCTTCCTTTCAAGCGGTCCTGGTGTGGTGGCAAATTTAAGTGCCATGGTCGCGCCGAGCTCCATGGCATCCGGAACAACGACTGTATCATGTGCACCCAGGTAGTTTTGCAATATCACCTGCAGCTCCATCGGAGCCCGAAGGATAGCAAGACCGAACCACGACTCCGCGCTCTTGATGAGCGATGCGAGCATGTCATTCCTAACGCGGTAGTTATCGGTGAGCTGTAGTCGTATCCCGGCTCTCTCAGACGTAAACTCTGGCTGTGGCGAGTACTAAAGGCAATGGAAGGCTCAATATACTCCAATCACCGGGAGAAGATGAGACCAACCTCGTCTGTGAATTCGCCTTCGCATGCTTTTCGCAGGAGAGTGAGGACTTCCAGAATGGCACACACCAGACTCTCGTCACACATTAGGGACGGGAACGAGGTAATCAGTCGGTTGAGATATTTGGTTGCGATGTCCCTGGGCTTTGTTATTCGGTGGCATGAAGTAATCAGCAATTGGCGCAATTCGCCAGAAAGCTCTTTGCTTAGGGAATGGTCCACAATTTTTCGACTGAGCACCCCGACGTATGACCTGATAACCTGCAACAAAGTGATGAGACACTCCCAGAGACGTGCCTGTATAATATCACCTACATTCTCCGCGATTGCATCCATACAGCCGGCCAGTGCACCACTCTTGTTCAAACTATCGTTCACGAAATACGTTGGCAGAGACGCAGGTAGATCCATGCTTGAGCGAAGGACCTCGACATCATATAGCGTGAGGATGAAAATGATTTGCCCAGGAGATAGGTACCGAATGTCTCCTAGTCGCAATGGCAGAAGGTCGTTCAGCCTGGAACGGTGGTGGCCCACAGCCTGTACAGGGCAACTTTAGCACCGTAGAAGATAACAGACGACTTGGCGCACCATCTGAAGATAGTCTTGTCTGAGGACGGGGTTGTACTCAAGCTCGCTGGTGACAAAATCTTGAGAGCTTTCCAAGACGATCGGAGGAGTCTTTGCAGCGATTCGGGCCAGGGCCGCCTTTTGCCATTCGTTAATGCTTGGGGAATCCGCAGAGGTGAATCTAAAGAGGACACAGAGTAACCAGAAGTTCCGGAAGAGCTGTACGAGCTCGGGTGGAGAATTGATGTGAAGGCCGAAGTCTTTATGTGAAACCAGTGCGTCAATCGGCAAGAGAAGTCCTCCCAACTCGTCAATCTCGGCTGGTAGCTGCAGAGGTTCTGTTAGACACGATCATGGATATCGATTCAATGTCCTTACCACGAGCCGCTCCTTGTTTGTGGCGGATTGAGTTTGCACTGCGATGCCTTTCTCTCCAAAGAGGGTTAATAGTTCATAGAGATAGTCTTCTCGTTGCTTTGGACGTTCTCCAAGCTCTTGAGCTAAACGAGTTTGCGCAGCGAGAATCTTCAGGATGAAGTGAGAGTCAATTCCGTAACTGTCTTCAATTCGATGACGTACCATATTATTTGTCCGTCTTGGGTCATTTGGATCGGAGGATCGATTGGCCAAGGAAAACGCCCGAACAATATCGGTAAAGACTTTTGGAGGAGCGGCTAGCGCCAAGTCCACGAGATTATATGCAATGGCAGCCTCCACATCAGGTCCAGCGGATCGAACACGTTGCAGTAACATCGAGACCGTGAGTTTTGTGACCTATTCAGGCAGAACTTGTAAGAGTGATCCCAACAACGATGACGGAGACTCGGGCACTTACCTCCTCCTCCTCGAACTCGAGAGCGAGCTGTGTTACGACTGATATTGTGCTCATTCCGATCAATCTGCGCTGTTCCTCGTCAAAGACCCTTAAACCAGTCTCCAAGGAGTTGATCCCCATTTGGTCAAAAGCGTATGGTGACTGGCCAACGACCGGTGTTATATTCGGGTTACTGAGCTCCTTGCTTGTGGCTGCTATATAGTTGAGAAGGGAGTACATGTTTGACATGACGAGATCGTCGCCAGGAGCCACCTGAAAGGAGAAGGAGATAAGCGGCAAAGCCAACAGCCCGTTCTAAAGATGACGCATACCTTGATACAGAGCGCAAGACATTTGGCGGCCGCGGTCAGCGGAGGAGGGGCGCGGATGTGTGTGGGATATTCCAGCTGGAATATAGGTAGTGGAGCCGTAACAAAACGTCGCAGATGGAGAGTGAGAGAGCTAGCTATTTCGGGGAAGCTAGGCGAACATTCAGCTCGAGTCCCGAGAAAAGAGTCATGCCGCAATAGCTCACTTCTGTATGAGCGCCGTTGTTGCTGTAAGGGCAGCCTCCTGTACTAGATTCTCGTATACGGGAGAAGAATCACTCAAGAGTAACTTGAGCCTAGAGAAGAGTCCGGAATCGAGGTCTCCCAGCGCAATGCAGCACAAAGAAGCTAGTTTCTGGAAACAAATATCGTCTCATTGAGGGGCCTTTTCACTGTTTCTTTGGACATACCAAGCTTTCGGCCATCGTCTCGTACGCATACGTTTCCATTGAAGGCTCGACGTCCATCTCCTCTATTTGAACCAATAAGTCTTCAAAGGTCTGCATCGCTGAAGAAAGGGTAGCGTTCAATGCTCGTTTCACTCCATCAAGCTCCAACTCTTCTTCAATTGATCGTGGCGGGGCTACATCGTCACCATCCATCTCCGAGTTACTTGACCTGAAGAGTGGTTCCACTGATTGACGGATCAAATTTCCCCATGCTTCGTTTGCAGCTTCGGCCTCGTCGTCTACATCGTCACATTCTCTGAGAGTTTTCGCTTGGAGCGACGAGAATACCGGGCCTGTACCTTGAGGGGTGTCTGGTGATAGAGGAGAGTCTTCCGGAGATGCCCTTACCGAGAGTGGTGGAGCGAGTACTTGGCCCAAGACGACCCATTGAATTTCCGTCAAGCTGCAAACGAGAAAGTAACCGCTGAGTGGGCGTTCGGCTGCGGTATACCGAAGGACCAGTGAGGATACGAAAGCTTGTGACGGACGTGCCCGTGCATCGGGCAACAGCGCCTGCTCATCATCGTCGTCATTGGGATCCGCTCGTCCATTTCCTTCCTGTGGATGAGCAATGTCTTCCGCGGCGACCTCAAGATATTCGGTGAGGAGGGAGTTTAGGCGGTCGACGAGGTGCGGGGTGAAGACTCCGTTGACTTTGTCGGACAAGGCCTGCCACTCGCTAACGTGCCACGGAAACGGGGTCGAAATGACCGCACGGTACAAGCCATGGAAGGATGGTGCCACGCGAGTGATAACTTCGTCGGCTAGATATTTGTGTCGTCAGAATGCGAGACATTCTAGAGGTGATTTCTTAAATCCTTACGAGACTCGGACTTAAGTTGGTCGATAATTTTGAGAGAAAAGTTTCGTAGCGCGTCCATCACATTGCTGCGGTGTTCTGAGTAAGTGGCAGCAATCTTGAGAAGCGCCGAGACGGTGGAAAAGACTAATTGGTCCGGAAGGGCCCAGTCTACGATCGGGTATCAGTGGAGTGCAAGAGAACATAGCGGAAGGTGCCGTACCATAAGGCTCCCACACAAGACTGTTCTCAAAGTCGATGTATGGAATATCCTTGAGCATTTCTATGAGCACTGCGGTACTTTTCGCAGAATGCTCAGGGGGTATATTGGACGCCATTTCTCCGAATGCGATGTTGCAATGAACCCTAGAAGCACTCTGGAACCACTTGTCAAAAACGACATGATCGGGGGCCAGATGAGCTATGTCACGCACCATAAAAACTCTTGGTTCATATTCGTCTCCTTCTTCAGATGTAGAATCATCTTCGGCACTTTCCGTAGGATCGGTGTCACTTTCGCGAGATGCATCGCCGTTTACGTAGGTTGCGTCGTGCTGCGGGGACTTGACCCTTGTCTCTACTCTGGATGACAGAGCTTGGATGGCACTTTCGACGGACTTCTTCCCTTCATCGGTATCAGATGCAGCACTGCTCCACCCAGATATCGGGCATGATACTGTTCGAGCTAGGTCTGAAAGAATCAGTTGGTGCAAATTGAACTCCAGGCTAATGGTGGAAGAATCTCAGCTTTCTACAAGTCTAGTAATCCGTCAGTGCCATACCTATCCATTTTCTCCGAAAAACAAACGCAGCGAGGGTTTACTTTGAAGGTGAGGGTGCTCTCCTGTGTAGATGAGCGGAAGAACTTGTTGGAGTAGTTGTCAGCCGATCCCACGCTCCCTCCGAAGTCACCGCGTGAAAGACCCTGGTGTCCAAAACCACGCATTTGTCGGTATAACTAGATTAAAAATCAAGTCATGACACCCAAGTCCCTTATAGCTCAGTGGTAGAGCGCGTCACTAGTATACGCCGTTCAGGTTGTGGAAATGACGAGGTCCATAGTTCAAGTCTGTGTGAGGGAACTTGTACGAGCGAATCAGGTGCTCCTGTTCGCTTCCTTTTTTGCTCTCTGACGCTTCATTTGGTCGATTATTGCGGTTTACGTTGGTCTATGTCTCAGTTTGTTGCTGTATATTTTACAAGGGGGTCTTGAAAGTGTCTTCAGAGGATTCAGGTAATGCTCGAGGGTCGCCCCCACGCGACCTCATCTTGCTAAGATTATGAGTCCAGTGCAAAATCATTATTATGCAGCTACATTATAGTATAGTTTTCAGCTTGAGGACCTAGTAAAGGAATTCACGAGGACTCGAGGGAGGGGATGCCTATGGAACAAAATGCGCCCCTGTTTCAGGTAATAAAGCGTGCAGGTGCTGAGCATCTAAGAATCTAGTCTTGTTATAGCGGTGCCCTTTGTCTTCCTCTAGCAAATATTCGAAGGCAGTCACACCCGCCCGCCAAGTATAATCGCGGCTGTCGAACGCGGTGGCGGACCTACGCGGACTTAAGGCCGTAAATGAGACGCGTCGAACTTCCACATTTTCCACTTCTGCACACCACATTTTGGCTCTTTGAACCATGTCCCGCCGTCGAGTTGGGGCCAACGGTATTACCGGACCAAGCTCAGCCCTCACAGCTTTCCTAAGGGTATGACAACTGCTTTTGTTTCGCTTGCGAACCTCGTAGTAAAATTCCATTTTATTCAGGACCAAGGCATCAATACCCGGCCAACGAATACATGGAGTCGCAGAGTCGAGACGGAAGAGGACAACGCAGAAGCCGGGCCAAGCAATGCAGAGGCCGGACCAAGCAATGCAGAAGCTGGCCCATCTATTAGCAACCCATCGCCTTCGCGGAATGTGCGTTCTCCTTGTACTCTCCCCGCCCGCACCACATGACCTCCAATGCTCCTCCTTCCCGCTTTGCAGAACCAAAACGGATACAACTCAGATAATCTTGACGATGATGAAGATACATCCGCGAGTAAGAAAAAGAAGAAACCCACAAAGGCCCAACTTGAAAAAGAAAAGGCCAAAGCCAAAGCCGCGGCAGCAAAAAAGCGCAAGCGCGCAGACGACGACAGCGACTACGACGATGAGGAAGACTCCTACAACAAACCTTCCGCTGCAAATGGTGCAGCACTTGGCCCCCCTCCTGATATTGGCTCTTTTGAGAATTGTGCCGAATGCGGGAAGAGATTCACGGTTGTATGTGCCGGGTTGGGGATGCCGGACTTGCTATCGACCCAACTAATTTCGTGATGTCTTCCAGACAAAGTATACCATGGCAAAGCATCCTCCACCAGGATACCTTTGTCACCTGTGCGCTAAAGCCTCCGGGAAGGATCCTTTCAAGAAGCCCCCAGCAACGAAAAAGCGGAAGCCGGCGGACAAGCGACAGGTAGTAAACTTCGAGGATACGGAAAATGTCAAGACGCTAGCGAACATCTGCATCGAGGTAATTTCTGCTTCGCGAGTATAGCTTTCCTCTCGCATGTCACTGACGCCGTTGAATAGATCATCAGCAACCATATTGACGATGTGGAGGCGCTTGGTGCGATTGGCCAAGTGAACTTGATGAATATCGTCAAGATCATTTGCAAGAACAGGCGACTGTATGCAGAGGCACTATTTTGTCCCAATTACCTCCTCACGATGCTTCTCCTTTCAGGACCGAAGAGAACGTCAAACTTTTCTATGATGCCGGAAATACGGAAGTATTCCTACCTGATGCCACAGGTAAGCACGCCGCCCGCTGTGTGTCGGATCCTAGCATTTACATCCCGACAACCGTTAAGCCTTGCTGCCACAAGCCCTGATGGCTCTCGCGTCGTTCAACCCCAACGTCGAAAACCTCCGGCTGGACCTGTGTGGCCGCATGACTACACCCGTCATAGAACACTACGGGAACCATTTGTCCAACCTCACTCGCCTCGAGCTCCTCGGGCCGTTCCTAGTCAAACCTGAAGGATGGAAGGCCTTCTTCGCTGCCGTGGATCAACGTCTCGAGGGGTTCCTGATCACCCAGTCGCCGCGGTTCGATCTCGCTTGCCTTGAAGCGATGGTCGAGCATACAGCCGGCACGCTTACGGAGTTACGCCTCGCAGAGATCGGGCAACTCAAGGACGAATGGTTACCCCACTTAGAGGCCTTCAAAAATCTCAGGTCGCTCGACCTGTCATTTTGCTCCGAGTCTCTAACAGACGAGCCGGTGGTCACTCTCCTCTCGAATGTTGGGCAAAGGTTGACGCTGCTCAACCTGAGTGGACACACCGCGTTGACAGACAAAGTCCTCACAGAGGGCGTCGCTCCCCATACAGGATCCCTGAATACTCTGATCATGACGTCCCTCGAGTTGCTTACCGATGAAGGAGTTGCAGAGTTCTTCAGTGCGTTCAACACCAACCGCCCAATGCGACGCGTCAATTTCAGTCGAAACCATTCACTCTCCGCTGCCGCACTGTCCGCACTGCTTTCCCACTCTGGAGCGGCTTTGGAGGACCTGAACATCAATAGTTGGAAGGAGACCCCCAATGAAACCATGTTGGGGATGGCGCAGTATCTACCCCAACTGATTAACCTCGACTTGGGTTGGTGCAGGGAGGTAGACGACTATGTCATCAAAAGTGTCTTGGACGGCTGCCCGGTCCTAAAGTCTGTCAAGTGTCACGGATGCAATCGGGTGACAGTCAACTGTCCGCGCAAGGTAAGCGAAGAGGGGTTGATTGATAGAAGGCGTCGCTGACCGTCCTTTGGCTTGTAGCGCGGCGTAGCGATATTTGGGAACGAGGCCCACACTGTTGTGTAAACGTTGTACTTAGCCAATATGTGCCGTTCTGGAATACAGGGGTTACATTATTTCCAGCATTTTCCAGGATGCTTCTTAGTCTTCCCGCGTCCCTCGCGTTTGGCGCCCACTCCCTTTCAATCCTGACCACCACCCAGTATGGCCACTTGCTCTCATTTGGATCGCCTCTCATCGCTACAAGCACCCAAACTCTCCCAATCGGTCCATCGGGAGGAGTGCACGCAATGCTTTGATAATCAGGTTTGTCCAAGCAGCTGTAGTCAGCAGTGGTGCAGGCCGCAGGCTCACCGCGTCTGGTTGCCTCGTAGGACCTACCTTCTGGCGTTGACGTCTGCTTGACTTGCTTCAATGGCGGCTGTACCAGCGATGATCGACACCACGCGCGGACACACTTCGAAAGATCAGATCATCCTTTCGTCTTGAACGTGAAACGCAAGGCAAAGCCCCGACCACAAAGGGTTAGCTGACTCGACGTACACTTCGCTCATTGTGAGGTCTTGACGCGTCCATTTACTACGTAGGATGACAATGAGCCCCCAACGAAGAAGTTGGCTATTAAGGAAGAACGCGAAGAGGATAAATACACGCATGAAACCACCTTGAAGTGCTGGGCTTGCGGTGGTGTCGAACTTCCCGACCTGGCAAATGAGCCCAAAGTGTGTTTCCTAACCCGAATCTCGTATATACGGTCATATCTAATGCACTTCGCTGCAGGTTCGTGCTTTGGTAGATGGTATCATGCAGTCCATGTCTTCCGCCCGCCAGTCCGAAGTCAAGGCTTGGGAGGAGGATATCACGGCATGCGAGCACACTCTTTTGCTTGAACAAGCGTCCTCGCATCAAATCGCTGCATCAGGTATGTCGGGGTGGCCGGAATGTTCATAGGAAGCCAACCTTAACTTCTATGGGGTTCCATAGGCTTGGCGCAATGCGGGAAATGCGACCTGAAGGAAAATCTCTGGCTATGTCTTACCTGCGGTAATCTTGGATGTGGCAGAGCTCAGTTCGGTGGTGTTGGTGGCAATGGCCACGGTCTTGCTCATTTCAACGAGACCTCGCATCCCGTAAGCGTCAAGCTTGGAACGATAACCGCGGAAGGGACGGCAGGTACGCCCCAACCACCGCCTGCATAACTACAAAATCACTCACTCGGTAGGCACATAAGATATCTATTGCTATCAATGCAACGATTCGAAGCTAGATCCAGCGCTTGCGGCTCACCTTGCTAATTTCGGCATAAATGTGTTGACGCAGACGAAGACGGAAAAAAGCATGACCGAACTGGTTGGTAACGAGTCTTCCGTTATTGAACGTTTTCTAATTGACATCCTGTAGCAAATCGAACACAACCTTCAGTTCGACTTCAGCATGACTGGTGATGATGGAAAATCTTTAGAGCCAGTATTTGGGCCCGGTCTGACAGGTCTCGCGAATTTGGGTAACAGGTAGTCTGCTTATATCCTATTTCTTTGCGGGTCGAGCTGACGTCCTGTGTTACCCTAGCTGCTATATGGCCTCGGTTATACAGTCGTTGTTTTCCCTTCCTGCGTTCCAGACGCGCTTCTATCCCACCGCTCTCGCACACGCTGCTATCTGCATTGAACCGCTCCCTGCTAGTTGCTTGGAATGTCAAATGTGCAAACTAGCCGATGGTCTCCTTTCCGGTCGATACAGCCATCCTCGGAAAGTTCCCGATCCGAACAGCATCGTCCAGTCCCCATCTCCCGATGCTCCCGATCACACGGCCCCCCAATTCCAAGAGGGACTCAAGCCGACGACGTTCAAAGCCTTGATAGGGAAGGGGCACGAGGAGTTTTCCACTATGCGCCAACAAGATTCTGAAGAGTTCCTGGCGCATCTTTTGAAGAGCCTGCGGCAGGATGCAAAAAAGAAGAGCGAAGCTGAGGACGAGCAACCAACACGCATCTTCAAATTTGGCCTGGAACAGCGTCTGCAATGCACGAACTGCCATAAGGTTCGGTATCGTGTCGACTCTCAAGACTCTATCAGCGTTCCGATCCCCGCCAAAGAGAAGCCCCCGGTTGTCGTCGAAGGCGGTGACCCACCAAAAGTCGAATACGAGCCGGTCGAGCTTCTTCAATGCCTGGAGACGGCCCTGGGCACGGAGGTGCTCGAATACGCTTGTCCATCATGTGGAACGAACGTCATGCTAGAAAAGTACGTCCACTGATAAGCATTACACTACAATCTAATTCAT